CAGAAAACACTTCTTTACAGAAAGGGTTGTTAAGCACTGGAATAGGCTCCCCAGGGAGGTGGTTGAGTCACGTGTTTAAAACCATTTGGATGTGGTGCTCAGGGACAAGATTTAGCAGAGGCTTGTTAGAGTTAGGGTAATATGGTTAGATTGGGGTAGACTTGATGATCTTTAAGGTCTTTTCCTACCTGAGCTATTCTATGATTCCATGATTCTATTTCTGCCCAGCTCATTAAAAGACATTAACCAAAGCAGCAAAGCAAACCCCTTCACCTGTTTTTGCTTATAATTACTTAAAGGAACTATAATTTGAGGACGTTTATTTTGGTGTTGGATCTTACATGAAACCATATCATATAGTCTTTCCCAAAATACAACTTCAGAACATAGAAACACTTCTTCATTTGGAGTTTGCAGCAATCTAAGGTATAGAATTACTGTAATGAACTGTTTTATCTGTAGCTCTCTTCACTCTGGTCTAACTGAAGTTCTGGGGAATTACATTAAAGCACTATTACAAATTCATAAAAGAGGTGAAAAGTGCAATTCTAAAAAAAAAAAAAGTCTGTATTTAACATTCTGAAATTACACTCCAGTACTCCTTTTTATTCACCACTCCAACAAAATTAGGAAACAAGTGATTGCTTTTTATCAACTTGACATCCAGTTTCAGGAACTGAACTCATTCTCTTCATTTCAGAGTTCTTCAGTAATTTTAATAATACATCTTTTCTGAAATGTCAATTAGGCATCAAAGACAAAAGAATTTTAAAACCAGAATAGATAATTAACGCCCTTTGTGCTCCTGGCTACTTTTCCATTCTCATTATGTCAATTACAGGTATTTCTATTACAGGATTCTAGAAACAATTTTTTATTAAGAAGAATTAGGAAGAAGGGAACAGAAATTTTATCTCAGCTTTTTCCTATATACTATTTCTCAGAAATAAACTTTTTGGAGGCCATCTATGAAAAGCAGGACACGAATCTACAGAATATTGCAGAAAGTTTAAACTGACAGGATAATGAGCAGAGAAGGAACGCATGACATATAAGCAAATATTTTTGACACCAGAAATACAATTGGTGTAAGGCTTTCATATTTATGAACTTTAAATGCAGTTATCTCAGTTTATCTTATACAAAATGATGTACAATTTTCCACACATATTAAAATTCCTAATTAAAGTTGAACAAAACAGTCTTTAATCGGCACCATGATAAATGGCACACCTGCCTGACTGGGATTACTGCCAGGGATCAGATAAAACGCAGTGCATCTCAGTGGCATTTTATAAAAGATGGGTAAATGATGCATGCAAGCCAATTCCTCTGGCATGCTATTGCTCATGGTTTCGTGATACACATTTCCACCTGTGAAACTCTTTCTTCACTACTTGCAGCTTACAGTGAATGTGGTAATGAACCATTTATTCATCTTACAGTTTATTATTTAAAGCTGAATCCAGTTTAAAATAATTGCTATATCTAATGACAGCCACATAATAAAAAGAATGGTAGAATCCCATGAAATGACTGGAGCTTTATGAAGAGTAAAAGGATTTCTCTTTGCTCTTTAAGGTCAGAGGCAGCCATACGTCATTAAAAGCATTGCTAACAACAGGTGATGCTGATTTTGCTAAATCACTGAGCCAGTCATAGAATTTCTTGAGTGGATAACTGAAGAATTACACTTCAGAGATCTCTCTGCAAATAACAATAAAGAAATCACTTGGCTCCTCCAGCAGGAAGAGGAGAAAAACAACAAAAAAAGCAACTGTGTGAATAAATTCCACATAATCCTGGCATTTTTTTTATTAATGTTGGTGTAATTCTGAGACAAGCCGTGTAATTCTTAGGAGTTTCCAGATGTAATTGTATTTATATGTTCAATAAGTACTGTGCCTTCTCTTTCCCCTAGAAAAAAAAAATCTCATGGCAACTCAACATATTGAGAGTTACGCAGATTCCAAATCACAGTATTGTATCCAGGCCTGAGGCCCTGAAGTACAGGAAGGATGTGACACCACTGAAATGGGTACAGAGGAGGGCCATGAAGATGATCAAAGGACCAGAGCACCGCTTTTATGAAGAAAGGTTGAGGGAGTTGGGCTTGTTTCTTTTGGAGAAAAGATGACTCCGGGGAGACCTCACTGCAGCCTTCCAGCACAAAATGGGAGCTTACAAGCAGAAGGGGGGATGACTTTTACATGGTCTGGTAATGACAATACAAGGGGAAATGGCTTTAAACTAAAAGAGGAGAGATTTAGGTTAGATGTTAGGAAGAAATGTTTTATTCAGAGGGCAGTGAGGTGCTGGCACACCTGCTCAGAGAAACTGTGCCAGCCCCATCCCTGTAGGTGCTCAAGGTCAGCTTGAATGGGTCCCTGGGCAGCCTGAGATGGTGGGGGCAGCTCTGCCCATGGCAGGGTGCTGGAACTGGGTGGGCTTTAAGGTCCTCTCCAACCTAAGCCATCTGTGATTTTATGATATTAACATTTCTGCAAAGTTGTATCAACTTCCTACAATGCAATTTGCCTTGGGTCCTTGCACACAGTTATTATGGATATAGTATGTCACAAAATGGAAATATTAACAATTTTGTCTGTGTTTCTGACTCAAAACTGATACAGCTTATTCAACCTAGTGAAATACTTGGTGATGCAGAAAAGAATCACTTTGGATTTTGTAATACAAGACAAAATACATGCTGATTTGAATGGTTTGTTTTTGGGTTGGTTTTTTGTTTTTTTTTTCCATTTCAGAGTTGCTCTTTGCTTCATTCAGTTTTCAGTCAAGCTAAAGCAGTTCAGCATGCAGCTGTCCTGACACAGTTTTTCACAGTCACCTTCAAGTTGTTGGTCATCTACCTGCTTCATTGGGAAAGCTGGGAAAGAGAATGTAACTTATTCCAAAGACTTAGACACAAATAAACCACCAATTGAACTGTCAGTTAACTAGAATTTAAAATGCCTTCAAGCACGAGCATCCTGTCATGCCTTACTTCCCACAGGCAACATCTTAACTGAGGCAAGGTTCAGCCCAACTCAAAGGACGAGCTCTTCATCTGATGATTACAGCCTTCAGCAAGAGACTACAAAATAATTGGCACATCCCGAGAACTGTCAGGTTTTACAGACATGGGTTCATAAATAGTAAATCTCTGTAAAGACACTGCAGATTTTTTTTCAAACATATTATACAGACTTCAGAAAATATCCCGTTGTTACTAGCACCTTATCTGAAAGGAAACAATTATCTT